TTAAGCTACTAGGGGCTCCTTGGCATCGCTACTAGGAGCAAGGAAGCCACCAGGGGCTGTTGACGACTCTTGCCCAAGCTTCGCTCCAAATGGCTGAAGGTTGGAGATCGTTAGTCGATGACCTGCTCCGATGGTTCGCTCGACTTCGTCTTTTTCCGAAATCCGTTCGTGTCGGATCTTCACCTTTCGAAGATCGAGGTGAGACGAACGGGTGAACTGAACCGAGACACCCAGAGACACCCCAACACGTTGGCGACGTAAAAGAAACACGAAGAAACACATTTTTTCGTTGTCTATTTTCTAAACAGAAACAAGTAAGTTCTCTTGCAAGAATGCTCATCTGTCTGGCAGGTATGTGATTTTGTTACGGCGAAGAGTAATAGACCTTCTCTAGCTGTTATACCTGCCAACTCAGCCCAGCTTTAAACGAGTTCAAGTACGGTGCAAAGCTGAGAGACGCGCTGAAACTGGGTAATGCGACCAACTGAGTTGTGGGCTGTCTGCATCGAATGCAGAAATGCAGTCAAACGCAGTCTCAACAATAGCTTTGCCAATGTGCTGATGCAAATCCCTGGTGTTGTGGGTATCATTTCTTTTGTTTGGCAAATGTGCCGCGTGCACCGATGTTCAAAACAACAAAAATGCTCTGCGAGATGTTCTATAAAGCATCGAAGTTTACACTGCACTGTGGGGTGCAGTGGGGTGCAGCGAAAAGAAAACCACTATCGTATGTAAGCACATGCTGTTTCACCATTTTCACACGTCTTCACTTATTTCAGACGTCTTTTTCTTGTTCACTTCCTTCAATTGAAGAAGTGAATGCCCTCATCCGCCTGGACGAAAAAATGACGGTCGAATCGAGGAGTGAAAAGACCATCGTCTCCTGGCCTGATTCAAATCGTTCAACTGCCTGAAACACTTGGATCCGAAGAGCATCCTCAAAGAACACGGGAAAACACCGAAATCGAGAACAAACAACACAAGAAAGAGAAAAGGCAACAAGACAGGTATGTGAAAAAAGAACACAAAGAACAACAAGGACTTTCAATACATGAAAGACCTCCCTGGCTTTGAGCAGGCCTGATGAACAAAATGCAAAGACCACCACCTCAAGAAGGTTGACACACATCAAACACAAATGGTTTACACAGAACTTCAACACATATCCTGGATTCAGAAAGCACGTTTCCAACAACACAGTGTGCTTTATCATGCTTTATCTATCCACATGACAAATAGAACATCACATTCAACTATTTAAGTTTTCCTAAGCATTGAACCAAATCATCAGTGCGAACTAGGAGCTACCTAGTCTGCTACTAGCGTGTTTACTCTCCCTTACCTAATAAAGTAAGCGCCTAATTAAGGAGGGGCCGGCTAAAAGGAACCGACACGAAACTCTCACATGTCCGAGCCGCAAATGACCCAGAAGCTCACCATATCGCGGACAAAAAGTCGATTGCGAGGCCTCGTCGATTTGTCCACTTAGTCTTTTGGACAAGTTGAAGTTATACACCAAACGCTCTGCTCCATCTCGAAACTGTAAATTGAAGAGCGACATAGGTGTGTGTTCTTTTCTTCTTAAAGTGCTGGCCTCTGTCGTATATACAGCAGAACGATTCATTTCTTTTCTTCTTTCCTTTTCTTTGGTTTTCTTCGTTCTTTTATTCAACCGTTTCTCTTCACGTGTTCCTTTATTCCACTTGTTTCTTGTTTCTCTTTTGACTGAGACTGCTCTTGGGTTTTGGCAAGAGACGAGATATGTGGGGCCGAAAGGGGCGCTCTGCTCACTTTCGACAAAGCCAGCGGTGCAGCGCTATGGTAGCCAAGTGGCCCTTTGCTCACCATCGCTGTCGTGCCCCTTTAGCAGAAAGAGATTTTGACGCACAAAATGAACAATTTTAGAAACATGATTTATAGAAAAAAAAGTGTTCAAAAGCTTCGCAAAGCAAAATGCAGGGAACGTGATCAAGAGGTGTCAAGTTTCCCTACAAGTCTAGAAACCAAATTAGAAGCGTGAGATATCCTGCGTCCATGCGTAGTAGCGTCCTGTAGCTACTACCCACCTAGCTTCTACTGGCTACCTAGCTACCTCCCTCTACGGCCTCCCCCCGGTCTTTTAAAGGGTTCTTCAATGTCCATGTCGCCCGCTTTTGAGTGACAGCTTCCCTACTTCTACTACCTCTACCATCCTCCACCTCTATACCCTCGTAAAAAGAAACACAAACGCAAGGACAATGGTGAGGGGATGGGAGAAACAAAAAAGACTGAACCAAAAGACTTCGATTTACATTCGATGTTTTTGTGAATGGAGCAGGTTCGTTGGTTTCAGCACTGAGAAGCGGACGAGTATGAGATGGGAAAAATGAAGAACATGTCCGTGTTGCGACAAAGATAGCTAAAGGTTGCAATGGGAAAAGTGCGAAGAGAGATACAAGATTGCAAGAATGAACAAAACACGTCGTGAGAAAAGTGTTTTTTAATCACAAACATGAAGCTACTAGGGGCTCCTGGCATCGCTACTAGGAGCATTCTTACTACTAGTAACAGAAGCTACCAGAACATGAACAAAAGTGTTTCTTGTTGGAAACACCGGAGTATGTCCCATGCGAACTCGTCGAGTGCCGGCGTTTCGACTTGTCTGATCTAAATGTGAGGGTTCGGTTTGATCGAAGAGAGAATTAACAACTAGCGATGGCCTCCCTAGGAAAAAGACTGCACATCGAACAAGAACGCTACTAGCGGCTCCTGGCCTTAGACAAACGCTTTCACTTTGGACCCGGACCCAAATAGGCCACAATCGATGCTGTCGAAGATGTTGCCCGGAAACGTCCAACACTGCCGTTTGTTGTGAAAGCCGAAAACTGCGGGCGAAGATGTTCTGAAGATGCCAAAAAAAACGTGACTTGTGACTCGCGACTTCCCAAAAACCCCTAGCTGAGCTAGCTACAGCTTTTACGTTGTGGACCAAGCGTTCAGCAAACCTCTTCGAACTTAGGATCGGATTCTTTGGTGGCTAGTAAGGCACTTGTTACTAGTAGCGATGCGCTTGTTACTAACAGCTTCTTGTTACTACTAGTAAGGCACTTGTTACTACTAGCGTGGCACTTGTTTCTAGAAGCTTCTTGTTCCTAGTAGTAAGGCACTTGTTACTAGTAGCGATGCACTTGTTACTACTCGTGGACTGAAAAATCCATGAAGTCGACCCAAAACCGGGCAACGCCCAATGTTTTTCTAAAAGTTATCTTTTGGCGCCACGGTCTGAGTGAACCCGCGCACGTTGGATCACCTCAAAATGAAAATGCGCCGAAACTTTTGCGCACATCATCAGCGGCTCCCCAACCTTTTGGTGTGGGCGGTGTTCGTCGGAGCTCAACATTGAAAAATTATGGATGTTGTCTTTTCAAGTGAGGCCTGAACTGCCGGAGCAATGTCATGATCCAAGTGCAGCAAAGGGATTTGACGAAGGTACCCATGCTTGCCAATAGCCTGTTGCACCAAGGTGTATGACATCTAGTACGCAATACCCGGCTATGCGACGTGTCCCCTTGCTCTCCTCCAGCGAACTTCACTCGCCTGGGTGAAACGGAATGCTCAAACAACTCCAGCGAAATGGGAAACAACAAAAAACAACAACATAGGAATACGAAAAAACACCAGAAGGAGAAAAACAATAACGCATTTTATATGTCGGAAAAATAACAAATGGCAACAGCACTGCCAACAACACATACATTGACAGTCGCCCCAACAGTTTCTAAGCCTTGAAGTTGTCGCAGGCGAACGCTTTGGCGAACACAGCTAGCTCACCCCGCTTGAGGAAAACCGGAGCCGCAGCATGACACGCAGTGCCACACGCAAGCATAGTCAATGTGAATGACACCTCCCCCAAGTTTTCAGGGCAAGCCACATTGACAATGTGCTCACAAGGAACAGCACGTCTTTTTCCAGTGTCTCAGCCAGTTGCTGTCAACCTTTCTCCTGACAAAGTCACTATGGACATGACAATTTCATTATATTTCATTTTTGTGTCGGCTTTGCAGTCTACTTTTGTTTCCGTTATATGTTTCTTTATCCACTTAGGTGAAGTGTCTCAATGCGCAATTTCCATTGCAGCCCGGACCTTCTGGAGTGAGACCTGCAGCGGAATTCCGAGCAAGCCTTAATGGTGAGAAACCATGCAGCACTCGAAAACCATGTGTTTTGCAGCCGGATGCAGCCGGCTAATACGGTGCCCTTGCGCCTACCGTATCATTCATGCTTGGGTGGGAGGGGGTAGTGGGAGAGTGAGAGTGAGTGAGTGTGTGAGGGAGTGCGAGTGTGAGTGAGAGTGAGTGTGAGTGGGAGTGAGTGTGGATGAGAACGAGTGTTAGTGAGAGTGAGTGAGTGTGAGTGTGAATGCGAGTGTGAGCGAGAGTGGGAGAGTGAGTGTGAGTGCGAGTGTGAGTAAGAGTCGTGAGAGTGAGTGTGGGTGAGAGTGAGAGTGTGGGAGAATGAGAATCTGCGAGCACAAAGTAATGCGCCTGCAAATCTGCACTTCGAGGTTCACCAAGTGCTGTGCCTTCCACGAAATCTGCACTTCGAGGATCACAGAGTGCTGCGCCTGCCACAAAATCTGCACTTCGAGGTTCACCAAGTGCTGCAACTGCCACGAAATCTGCACTTCGAGGTTCACAAAGTGCTGTGCCTGCCTGCCACGAAATCTGCACTTCGAGGTTCACCAAGTGCTGCACCTGCCAC